GGGCTTTCTATTTGCTTGCAATGCCAGCTATTCGCCTTTTGTTAGAAGTAGAAGTAGAGGGCGTCGTTTGCCCCACACTTCAAAAAAAGTGAAAAAGTATGGATGAAGTAAAAAAAAGGTACATAAGGAGTGAGAAAGAAAAACTTGGTCGGGAACTGAAGGTTAGGCCGACTACTTTAGTAGAGCAACACCTAAAAAAGTTGATTCCTACCCTTTACCCTTTTTTTCAATGTTGCCAATTCCCAGAATACTAATGTACCCTCGTGTATACAGTTGTCCAACTACTTTTTTCCTCCGACTTCTTTAGCCACTTCCGCATCTGTCGTATCCGGGAAATCTTGCTTTGTGGCGGAGCATTTAGCAATGCCAGCAGCCTGGTGAGGGCTGTCTGTTTGAGGACAGGTTAAGGTAGGGCCTGCTGGGCTTGCTTCTCATGATATTAGGTGAGGGAATCAAAAAGGGTCTCAAAACCGGGCGGGCGGGCTTTTGGGCGCACGGGAAAATGGAAGTGGGTGGAGGGTGCTTCTCAGCTAGAGTTGGGGGTGGGGTCGCTATAGTGGCTAGGGTGAGTCTTCCTACATGGCTGGACGCCCGATTCTAGACAAAGTAGCAGGGGTTACCACCACATCCTTTCCCGATAGACTTGAAGTTCTTTATAGGCAGGCGGGGTAGAAAATCTTCTCTCAAAAAGAGACAGACCAGAGATGACACAGGAAGGTATTCCGTCTCCTGTCCCCCTTCCAGTGGGGAACCCGCTCCCCGATCGTCACTCTACTGCGTCTGGCCCGTCCTCTAGGCACCTTTGGAAGGCAAGGAGTGTGACAACGTATACGCTTTCCTTTACTCCATAGGGCCTTCTCATCAATTTCAGGGTTTGGTGGCCTGAAATTGACTTGGCTTCGCCAAAAGGCCTCATCTCTAAAAGCCCGGCTCGCGAGGTGTCCCTCTCGCAGTAGGGTTCCAACCCTCGCCTCGCTCTTGTGATATGCTATGTTTCCCCTCCCTATTCCCAAGTAAAGGGTGAGTCCAATGCATCAGTTTGTGGATCACAGTCTCACACACTAATCCCTACAGGTGCCCGTAGTAGGCCGGCCGCCCTACCTAAACCAATCATCATATCGATCCCTAGGCCCCATTGATGGAAAGGCTCGGCTTCAAAACCGTACGTAGAGCTTCCGCCTCATACGGCTCCTCTAGGGATGGAGGTAGGCCCAGCCCAGGCTTGTGCGGTTAAGGTTGTTGTACATGACCTCATAAGAAAAGAATGAAAAAAATGATGTTTCCAGCTTCTGGTCTTTGACATAAAGAAATAAGTAATAACGAAGGGGACATTTTCAAATTATCTCCTAGCTAGTGGAACAAGAAAGACATGGATGATTTACTCATGTAAACCAATAAAAAAATGAGAAAAGAAATATAAAAAGAAAAAATCAAAGTCGAGTCTTATGTCGGGTTTTCTAAAAATCCTTGAGAAACTTATTGAATTTGTGAAAGAGTTTTCATAATGCTACACTTCAATTAAAGATCGAGTCAAAGGAGAATTCCACTTAACAAAACTTAAAATCTTTCTTAAGAACTTAGGCGACTTGCTTTAAAGCGGCGCCTTCCTTTTTTGAATATGAAAAGAGACCAGCCAGCTTTTAGATGAAAGAAAGGAGGCCTTTCCTTGTAGGAATAGCTTATAAACTATTTTAAATAATATGAGACCACCAAGGCCTCCCAAAAGATTTTGACAGAAGAAGATTCCAACAAACAGTTCTTTGTATAAGCCGGTTATCATCTACGTAACCGCAAACTTGCTTTCTTCAAGGATAGTGAAGCGAAGTCCCTCCTCGAAAGGAAAGAGGGACGAGCGGAACGACTTCAGTATCGGTAAACATTCCCCCGATGGGCTCAGTTTGGGCTTTCCAGTCTCGTTCCCTTTAATTGCACGAGATAAGAAAAACGAGATATCAAGCGGGAAGGCAATGAAGGTGAGGGAAAAGCAAGTAGTTAGAAGCAAGAAGCATAGGAAAGAGCAGTAAGAGCAAGAGTAGTCCGCAAAGCAGCTGGTTGAAGCATGGCAAGGGGAGAATACTCTGAATGAATGTTGAATGGGAACTGGGATAGGAACTGCTACTGGCGGATCTTTGCCTAGAACTGAAGCTGACCTTTAGCTAGCCGACCATGTGCCAGAAGTCTATACTGGCATTTCAATAGGTCAAGCAAGTCCGTTGGCAAGCCTGTAGGCTATTGGCTTCTTCCTATATCCCTGTTCGGGAAAGCTATTGATTCCATTACCGAACCAAAAAAGATTATTCCCTTAGTTCTACCTACCACCCTTTCACACTGTTTAAGGGGCATCATCTATTGAGAGTGGATTTCAGGTGTTTAGATATTTCAAGCATAAGCAGTAGTTGAACTAGCATAATGAAAAAGCTAGCAAAAGGGCAGGCCCAAAGTCGGATTTGGCCAAATAAACAGAATGGCAAGCTTCATTACCATTCGAAAAATCCCATCGGTTCGAAACTAAATCCTAAACTTCGGAGTGGCAAGTAGCAGAAAGAGAAAGTCCAACGTAGGCCTCAGGCTTGAGAAGGGTCATCGTTCCCGGCTGTCCCATGTTTGTTGTATTTCTGCAGGGGGAGCCCAACCCCGCTAACGCCGTGTTTTAGGGTTACAACGAGCTGGCCTCTGAGAGACTAAGTTGAGAATAGCGCTCGCTATCTTTCCAGCCATTGGCATATCTGCTTAGTTATCTAGGATCAAGGGCGCTTTACTAATATAATATCAAATGGGACACTTCCTTGAAGAAAGTCGTACTCCCATCAGCTTTCAAGTAGATAAAGAAGTTAAGGCTAGTGACATCAGCTATCGGCTATTGGCCTTTGTGAAAGCTCCTCCTCAATATGTTTGATCCCCTTCCAAGCCTTCCTCTTCGTCAATGATTATGGGTCGCTCCTGTCCTTTAGTTCATTACACTACTCTAAGGCCAGTTGCCTACACAACATCTTGACTTTCTAGAAGAGTCCACTTTGGTTATCGCTACACCCTCTCTAGACAAACGATTTGATTCAAGTCACTCCACCACTGGTACAATAGCACCCTGCCTTAATAATCGCATAGGCACCCGGGCTTGACAAGTTCAAGCAAAACCGTAGAGAGAGCGGGCGACACCTAGCTTAGCCTATCCAATATCCGATTCAAAAAGATTTTTTTTTTGCTGATTTTCCTCTCTCGGTATAAAGTCAGTCCCAGTGTTGGGCAGAGCCCATTGTCAAAGGATCGTTTCGCTGGAATGCTTGCTTGAATATAGCTACTCCCATTAAAAGGAATTTTTCACTCTATACGGTATGGCTACAAACCGAATGAAGAAGTCAGAAGCAGTTCATCGCCTGTGGGAGCTTGCTGATAGTGAGGAAGCCATAATCTATCTATCGGATTGCCTATTTGTCTATATGTCTGGTGAAGAGAGAATGGAAGAGGCTCTCAATAGGGCAAGCACAAAATACCTCGTTCGGGTCCCCGGACGAAGGTGAGACCAACCTTATTATGATTAGCGAAGTCCTTTCCAACTCCGACGAATGGTTTCACTCCTCTTTTCCCCTTCTATCAGTTCCTTGTTAGTCAGTCGACTCCCCTCCCTCAAAAGATTGTCGAACTTCACGGTTATTCATCCATATATTTGGTAATCTCCGGCGGTCAGAGAAGAAAGGATCTCCATGAAAGCAGGAGGTCTTAAACATTAGTTTGTCTTCAAATGCGGGAAGGGTAGATGTTGGTTTTTTAAATGATGGGGCAGCAAAAATATTAAAAGTAAAAATTGAAAATGTCTCTCAATAATATTATTAAGCATACCAAGGCTTTAAATAGCCAATTAGGAACATAATCTGTACAAAAATCTACATAAGAGGTATTTAAAAATCCCAAAATATCTCAACAAACCTGAAAAATCTAACCGAAATTTAAATTCAAAAAAGTAGATTTATCATAAAACTAAGTAACTTATTATGCTAAATTCAGTTACTGCAGTAACTGAAAGCAACAAAATTTCAACACTCCTCCTTTGCTTCAGTTGCTGCAATTAAAAAAGTTGCTCGTCCTCAATTCTTGCTTCGGTTGTTTGTCCTTGAGGATTGTTTTGAGCATCGCTGAAATTGTACACTTTTGTAGTGCAGTCCTTTTTCTTTTTTTTTTTCTTCTTTCTTTTTCGTCTTGTGCATGAAGAACACCCTTACTGACCTTGTCTTATCTAAAATCTCTTTTGAAAGTATTTGATTCTGGACAACGATAGGATTTTCAGGGATTGCCGGTAAGGATTGTTCTTCCTTTACAACATTCAACAAATTATAGGTTTTAAGATATGATTTTATTTTCACTGAGCAAATTCGATAGTAATCGCCAGTTAAAGTCTGTGGGGCATTCAAAGAGAGACTGCTGCTTGCCATGTTTGAAAATTGGTTTAAAAATTGATATTGGTTAAAAATGATTTGAAAACGGTTCTTTGAAAGAACTCACAGATCCCGTAAGACCAATGAAGTTCTGATACCACTGTTGGTTTTTTAAATGATGGGGCAGCAAAAATATTAAAAGTAAAGATTGAAAATGTCTCTCAATAATATTATTAAGCATACCAAGGCTTTAAATAGCCAATTAGGAACATAATCTGTAGAAAAATCTGCATAAGAGGTATTTAAAAATCCCAAAATATCTCAACAAACCTGAAAAATCTAACCGAAATTTAAATTCAAAAAAGTAGATTTATCATAAAACTAAGTAACTTATTATGCTAAATTCAGTTACTGCAGTAACTGAAAGCAACAAATTTCAACAGTAGACATTCAGTTCGATGAGGGAAAATAAGCTTTGACCGAATTACACAAATTTTTGGTTAAACAGTTTTGATAACAGGTTTCACTTTAGCTTGTTTGGATGATTGTTACCAATTGTATCGTATTATATTTTTTCCAGATGATGCCTTGCAGCAACTGGAGGTTTTTGATCAGATGATGGATATTCACTTGATGTAACAGTTTCTGGTGTTATGATTATCTTTCTTTTGTTCTTTGCATATAGATTATCTTATACATAAAACATCAAAATTTCTCTCTAAAATTATAAGAACATGCTCAATTGTACAAATCTTTTGAGCAATCACAGAACTGAACTGTAGCTTTCTTCACTTATATCCCTCTTATTTAAGTAGGTCTTCCCATTTGCAGTATTGTCCACCTGCCAATGCACGATAGTACCTATCTCTGCAGTAGACTGGCCTTCCATCAGCTGCTTCAGCGGCAGCTTTCGCCAAATCGTCGTCCTCCTTGACCTCCAATGGCAACCTTAACAGCTCTTCTTTCCTATAATTACATAATGAAATAACGTAAACTCATGAATTTTCAAGCATGATTCTAAGTTTCGAGAATAGAATACCTGATGCCCAGTTTTGTGCTGTTTTGTGAAGTGGAACTCAATGAGTTTTCTTTTGTTGAGAAAGTTCCCTGAATAAAATCTTGTACTGGGGTTGCGAATATGAATAATGAGACTGCTGCAACTAGTAAAGACCCTGTTCCTACCAGCGTTTGCTTCAGCATTTTAATGACTGGTTTCACCTAGATATTAAAAATTCCTTCAGACTTTTCATGCTCATAATATTGGAAAGACCTACTTTATGATATTAAGAATATGGTCCCAACAATTTCGTAATATTTGTGTAGACAGCTGATGTGTTTTATAGACTAAGGTGAACATCTATAATGTACTGTGCTGTTTCACATGGTTTATAGTTATATAATCAGTGAATAACTGGGAGTAGGAAAGTCCAAGAACATAAAGCAATAGCATCAATGTAGTACCTTATATGAGCCGAGCAGCCTATCGCGAGCTAGGATCTGCAAGGAATAATCACATCAAATGCCATACATGCAACATCGTTTCTGATAAGTTTTTCAAGAACTGCTGGTAGTTTTAGACTTTTGAAGGATGTGTCGCCATAAGGCTGGAACTAAATTGGCTTTACAATATAGATGTGGGTCAAAATCTTACTGAGGAAGTTGGGCGTGGAAAGATCGTAAGGTGAAAAGACTGTGTCCCGAGTTGGGCAGATAGGACGAGGTCGACCAAAGCCCAATAACGAGCATTCGCAGAGCGAGCCGTAGAAGTCGAGGTCGAATAGCGAAAGATAAGAATAACGGCTAGTGTAGTCTTGGAACTAGTAACAGGAATATTCTCCTGAATATTCCCTTTGTTGTACTTTTTAGGGTTTTTAGAGAATATCCCATATAAATAGAAAGAGAGAGAAGAAAAGGGGCACGTGAGATTGAATCTGAAAAAACTATTGTAAGAGGTTGACCATTGAGAGAAAACAAAGTTTACCTTTCCATAGTGATTGATTTTATCGATTATTCTTCTTTTCCGCTCACATGATCCAAGAAAACATTACTCATATTCTTGGTGACTGCTACATTTCGTTGCCAGAAAGAAGAATCTTCCACATCATTTGATATTTGGGTGACTTGTTCTTCCTATTTACATTTATTGTCATTTTCCATATTTATTGCTCATTATTCATCTTCATTTATTCCCTAAAGTGTGCATTTAGTGACCGAATATACGAGTATAAGCATTTGATAAACAGCCTCACCCAAACTCTAATTGTGGATCTAGAATTTATTATATTTAACTAGAATTTACCTATCATCATTCACTTAATTAGTTTAACAAAAAGGTTTAAGACTTTTTGGTCAAACAATTACATCGCGTAATTTTGCTATGCGGTAATTATACTTTCTTGTAGCATCTGTTGTTCAATGTCTCATGGTAAGTTGCAACTAATGAATTCTATACTGTGAAGAAGTAACTTTACCACTGAAATCTTTGGCATGGCTGGTCGCGCTAGGAAGAAAAGAATATTATGCAAGGACTGATTGATTCGACTAAGACAAGGGAAGTAAAGCTTATTGCTTTCACATGTAGCTCTTATTTCCCACTTATATATTGGACAATATTCACCTCACTGTTAGTCATTTCGGTTTTGGGGCCTTGCTTTTATCTTATATGTGAATCAAATCTTGTCAAGCAATATTACAAATTCTATTCTTGAATTTGCTCTTTTGAAATTGCTTGTAGTTCATTAAAGAAATCACCTTTTGCTGGTTAAAATTCAAGACAGACCTCTAACTATATGAAGTAAAACTTAGTTATGCAAAATAACTAAATATAAACCTGCATAGGGAAGGGACTGGAGTAAGAAGTTACTATATTTTAATGATGGACAGAGCTGAAAATTGAGTTGTTTAAGTTTTGTTACTCTATTTTCCCTCTTGCTGCTAGCTCTGTATTCTTCATAATCATGAGCACTTCCTGGATTCAGTTTATCTATTTTGAAGCGTTTTGCACTATGGGAATGAGGAGTAGCAGAGGAAGTAAAGAGAAAACACGTGTAAAATATGTATGCAAAGGAAAGACCACTAACCTCAGGTGGCTTCACCCACATCTGTCCATCGTACCATCCGGTCTCTTCATAAGGTATAACTGCTGATAAAAGCCTATCACCAACATAGCTCCATCCCTATTAGGGGTGGCAAAATGGTTCAAAGAAAACAGTTAACCACCCATATTATTCACTAGAAAATGGGCTGGATAATGAATTGTTTAAAAACGGGTCAAATATGGATAAGAACCATATTATCCATTTAGAAAATGGATAACAATGAGTAACCAATGGATAACCAATGGATCTAACTTTTACATTTATAAAGCCTCAAATTGGAGGTTCCTCAAGTTAGAGAGACTAAGAATCTCCCAAAAGTGATCATATACAAGAAGTCATGGATAATATGGGTAACCCATATTATCCGCCGGTTAACCCGTTTTTTATCCGTATTAAATATGGGTCAGGTCGGATAATTGAACCGTTTTTTCATTACCCGTTTTCAACCCGAACCATATCTGACACGACCCGCCCGGTTGCCACTCCTAATCCCTATTATGGTCATTGTTAGGAATTAAAACGTTAGAATATTAGAGTAGTAAGTTCTCAAGTTACCTATCTCCAATGTAGCTATATCCCTAACTGTTACAATATTAATTAAAAGAGTTAAGATTTTAGGTTAGATACTGTCCCACATTCGACAAATATCACATGCGTTCTAGTTGACACTTATAAGTTGGTGTGTCTTGTATTCAACTAAATCATTAAGTCTACAATGGAAACTGATACCAAGAGGATAGTTATAAGAATTTCGGAATTCAGTTGGTTAGTGATTGCATATGGATTGACACTAAAGGAAATATCATATACCATGCAGGTTTAATTTGACTAAGGGACATTATCATCTTTCTTGGTTCAATCAAAATGTGCATGTCACCTTCCGATTTCAATACATAGTACAAACTTCCTGATGCTCTCTGTTTGTAATAAAAATTACTGCTAACTGAGAGGTCAGATGTCAAGCGTTGTCTCCTGGCAACTACATATCTGTGCATTTCGGATGAGCTTGCAGTAAATGTGGCACACTTTTAGATGACTATGTGAGTCAAGTCTATGTTCTTTGTAGAAAATTTTAGCTTCGAAGTCAGACATGTGAATTTGTTGTGGATGTATATATACACAAGTCTGCATCCAGGTCTTCAAGCCCGTGAAAAACGATTTGACCAAAAAAAAAATGAAGTTTTGGAATTAAAGAACTTTACCAGATAAATTCTCAGGACAATGAGTGCAACAAGGAAAAGAGTCCCTGTACTTGCAGCCAGGAGAAATCTTAAAGGATCCTGCAGGATTGTCAAAATTTGAATGTCAATGTATATGAGGAGCTGCTATAAGATATTTTAATGACCGAGTGGATTCTTTTATTCTATGTTGTGTCTTAGAAATAAAAAAAGTTAGAAGCTATACTTGTTTACTAAACACGAGTATTCACTTTGGGGCTCTTTGAGAGAGAAAGAACTAGCACAAATTTACAATTTCTCATTTCATTGGTAGTGGTGATATTCAAATATGATGATGCTTTTTCTTTATATTAAGGATTATATAATTGTCTATACCTTTGAAGGATTGAAGCTTGCAGCTGCAATAGGTGCTCCCAGAACTGTGAAAGTAACTAACCAAAGTCCCCCAAGACGTAGGAAGAAGGACCCTGGTCCCAATTCTGCCCATGAGTATAAACCTTCATCTTTCAGTGATGAGTACTCATTCACCTAGTAATTGAAAAGCAAGAATGTTGTTATTAGCTTCGTTTATAATTTATATTGCTCGTCGATCTCCATATTAAGTCTCTTGTCGCTATGAAACTTCAGAAATGTCTATAATGCTATAACCTGGCTTACCATATGATTATGGCCTTCTGGAGCACATCATTTTTTTCTGAGTTTATGTTCTATGCGCACTGACTGTGTGAAATATTTACACAGTCAGGTCATTTATAAGGTAATCGGGGAAAATAATCTCTATGATAAGCCAAAATCAATGCTATCCCATGTTAAACTATACAAACGGTGTAAAAACTCATTAATTTACACTATTAATTTGTATAACTTAAATCCTGTATGAATATCTTTTAAGCTAACCCACTTTACTCCAGGTATAATTTCTTTTCTTTGTATTGGAAAAAATAATAATTTCATTAGTAAATAGTCAACTAGTATCCTGTACAAGTCTGCATGTGCAGAACAGGGAGAGGAGCAAAAAAAAACTTTATAGTATGTGAAACATACAATGCCCAAAAAATGGGGAAATTGTAGCTTAATCATACGTACCGGCCTTTGTTCAAATGGCACCTCAATTTCCAACCCAGGGTCCCAACTACGACCAGGTAATCCACTGCCATTACCGTTCATCTCATCTTTCAGTGCTCTCACACTAATATCCCTCCTACATAGAATCGTTGGTTTATCAGGCAAAATGATCCAAGAACCGCAGCTTCTGCCAATATTATTGTTGACTTGTTTTGGACTAGGAACTATAGAACAATATAAATTTAGCCTGAGCATTTCTGAATTCTCTTGCAACCTGAGAATTCAGAAGAAAGGGTCGAATGGAAGTTCTTTTTTAAGGGTTTTTTTTTTTAAAAAAAAAAATTATTTTTGGAGATTATGCATTATACGTGATGGAAAATGGAGTAAGTGAATGTTCTCTGTTATCTGCCAAAAATTGACGGCCTTTTTTTTTTTTCTTATTTTCGTCCAATTATAATCAGCCAACTGAGGGCTGCTCTTTTGGATTGTGTATACTCGACCACCAGTTTGAAACGTTGTGGTCCAAACTTGTGGCTCCTACACAGGATTATCTTGAATTATAGATCCTAATGTGAAACATTTTTTGTGGTATAGAAGGTAAGTTCGTGGTTATCTTGTGTTGCAACGTGGAAAGATTGTCTATGCACGCCATGTTGGTTCATTTCTCACTGTTCCATGGGGTTTTCTCTGATTTGAATTAAGAGGATGTATATTCAAATTGAAAAGCCTTCTCATAGAGTCTGGACCGAGAAGACACAACCCAACTGCAGAAAAAAGAAAAGCATCTTATGCACTATTAAAAAAAATTCTGGTCGCTTGCTAAAAGAATTAAAAGATTCACTTTTGGTACAAAAAGCATTTTCAGCAATATTTGGTTAAAAGCGAAGTGCGTTTTTCGACAGTATTTGATTAAAAGCTAGGTGTTAGCACGAGTAAGACAGCTAGCACCCTATTAGACGGAGGAAGAATGGCAATCTAATTTATTCCAACTTGATTACTTTAATTAGGAAAATGTACAAATTTGTTAATCTATATATTAAAGCAATAAAGTTACCATATATAATTGACATTATGGTAAAACCAAGTGGCAAGCTAATAAATGTCAATAGTATATGATAACTTTATTCTATATATTTGGCTATTCTTACAAATATATATATATATATATATATATATATATATATATATATATATATATATATTTGCTATT